CCTCCAAGCTACATATCCCCCCGCTCCCTTTACAAGCTCCAAATTCCCCCATTAATATTTTCCCCAAAACACCTGTTAAATGCATCTATAATATCGTTCAAATAATCATAATATCAAGAGTTCGATGAAAATATCTTTCTTCTGCATTTAAAAATATTTAAATAGAGAATTAACACACTTACAATTATTGAGTGTCTAAAACGTTTTTGAGCAGAAACATTCAAAACTTATGAAAAGGCTAAAATTGATTAAACTTGGAATAGGAATAGTTCCATTGATGTAAGACCCTTGGTTCTCACACATACCCAGAGGGAAACTCAGATTGGATAGTTCCATTGATGTAACCCCTTCAGTCCTCATACGGACCCGGAGCTAAGCTCTGATTGCAAGTATTCCGGCCTTTAACCAGGACAACATATTAGCTCTTTTGTAAATAGCTATAGGTCTGATAGAAAGTGGGACAGATGACAAGTCTCCTTATCTATATTGTGTAAGGAGATTTATCTGTTAAGAAATGCCAACCCAGAGAACATGATTTGGACGCATGTTTTTAAACGCATGGAAAATCAAAGCCAACCAGGAATTCTATTTGAATTCAAGCCAATATGCAGGAGACACGGCTTGAACATGAGGCAGGAGGAAATAGCATTGGCCTGGACTAAAACAGAAATTAAAGTTAATTGTCTCGATGAGTCAAAAGACATAAGATTACCTTGTCGTACATAGGGCTGGGCGCGTTCCTGGTGGAACGATCATTCTTTCCCGAGAACGAACAGAATGATCAAGAACGATCACATCGTTCCGAAAAAAAAGAACGCTTAGAACGGGTTCTTAAAATTTTTTGAACGATTAGTAAAAGAACCGAACGGGAATTGCTTGAAAAGAACGGTTAAAATCGTTAACGCGTTCTTATTTTCAAGAACGCGTTCTAAGTTGGGAACGCATTTTAAATCAGGAAAAAAGAAATTGTTTTCTACAATTGATTTCTATATCTTTTTGATGTTATTGAAATATTGATTATGAAAATTAAATATTTTTGAAAAATCTACAAATTGTAACCCCCTTTTTTTAAGGTAACGCGGTTTTAGTAATCGTTCTGGAACGGGGGATGGAAACGTTCTTTGACTAAGAACGGAACGAGAGGGATGGAACCGTTCTTTAAATAAGAACGCCAAGAACGAGACGGAACAGGGAAGACCGTTCTTCTACTCAGAACAGAACGGAACGGAATGGGACGGAACGATACAAGAAAAAAGGAACAAGAACGGAACGATTTAGCTTAAGGCCCTTGTTCTAGAACGGAACGGAACGATTTAAAAAAAGTCGGAACATGCCCAGCCCTAGTCGTACAAGGCGAATGAAAGGCCGAGAGTCTGCCAAGAGAGCTCAGGCTTACTATGATTCATTAGTCTCATTTTTTTGTTAATTTTTTACTTGTAAATACATTTTTTCTATACTCTGTAGATCTACTCACAATTAGTTCTCAGGCTTCATATTTTCCTTATTTCATACCCCTTTAAAATGGTAACAATACGTAAAATTATGTTTACAGTCCTTTTAAACAGATTTTTCCTAATTATAAAACTAGAATACCTGAGTACACATTAAAAAATATTAAAACATCACAAAACTGTGAAAGATAAATTGGGCGGAAATGTTTATTTAGGAATTTATGCAGGGCTGTTAATATTTTCTTGAAAAATCTCCAAATCTTAATAATTTTTTTTTCCTAAGATCATCAAGACCTAGAAAGGGTAGGGGGGTATTCTTGAAAAGATACGCCCCAGAATTTAGGTCTAATTTATCGAAGCATACTTGACCTTAAAAAAGCGTATATACGACTTTTTTAAATACATACAATTTTTTTATTACATTCCATGTATAATATATATATGGCCATTTTCTAGCTCGCTTATGCTGCATGAACAGTCAAAGCCACGTCTCTGAGGTAGATACTGATCTAAATTGTTTTGTAGTGAATGGTTGATTTAAAAATTAAAAATTACGTCTGCAGTATCTTAAAAGTCTTTTTTTAATATGCAAAATTACAAAATGACATTTAAATATTTTGAGAATTTACATGTCATGAATTGTCTAGTTGTATAAATAATGGATATAAAAAACTAAACATTTTTTATCTTTCTTTCATAGTTTCAATAAATATAGATAATCCTTTTTATTTATAAATCTTAAATATCAGTTCAAATTATCTTTCCTCTGTAATCATTATCATTGATGACCGAGCATTATTCATCATGTTCTTGTTTTTCTTTTATAATTTCTAGATTAAATGCAAATAATAAAATGAAATAAAACATAGTATCGCAGAATTTGGAAATTTTTATGTAATTATATTTTTTTGACAGTACATCCATATTTTTTCACCTTTTTCGATTTTTAAAACTTTATATTTGTCTTTTCTTTTTTAGAATATCCTTGATTTCTGAATATTAACCATCCTTTTCAG